AAGTGTTAACTGAAAGAATAGACGATATTCATCATCAAGTGCGTTCAAACTTAAAAACGTCTGCTGATTCCATGAAGCTATATTATGATAAGAAGTCTACTGAGGTCAGCTTTGTACCAGGAGACAAGGTTTGATTGTATAATCCCAGGAAGACCAAAGAGAAGTCTCCTAAGTTGTCTTCTCCATAGGAAGGCCCATATGACATAGTGGATCGTCTCTCAGACGTGACTTTCCGAATAAAATGTGGTCGGCGAGGTAAGCCAAGGGTGGTGCATGCCAACAGGCTTTGGCGTTATCACACTCCAGGACATTTCAGTTGGAATGAAATGAACAATGGAACAAATGACGCTGCTGAAGACGTGTCACCTGAAAAAGCCACTGTTGAAGAAGAAACTCTACCCGGTTTTGAGAGGGAAAACAGTAAAGCCGTTAATGAAGTTACTACCACTGATGTGACTGCTACCGATAATGGGACATTTTCTGATGGAGCAGATGAATCCCACGTGAAGCAGAAGCCAATGAAATGGAGACCAGTACGAAAGAAGAAACGTCCTGTAAAATTAAGACTTTGTTGTATTTCAGTTTTGTGTTTGTAAATTATGTACATTGAATTAAGTTATTTTTAATTATCTATTGGTTTAATGTAAGTGGCTATTGCTCGTCCCGAACAATACTAAGGAAGGTGCAATGCTAATTACATCTTTTTATATGCATGGATATTTACCCTCACAATTTCGATACTGTATTTAATATCGTAAACAAAATTATACATATGTCCTTACTTAACCCGTTCAACATTCAGATTTTGTAGGTTACATCACGATCTGCGCATGACACAAGTTATGTAGCTTTCTTGAAAGATTAGGAACTTGTTAAGGGAGGAGATAGGGATACCAGAACTACAGAGGTGAGTTTGTAGTTTATAACATCATATCTATTATTATAGCACTAAAATTCCAACATCATGTATTATTAGAACTATAAAAAAGGGAGTAGGCCCGGTGATGTGTTTTGGTAGAAATCAAGGATGGTTGATGATATCAGTTTCTATTTGATGTCTTTAGAGTTAACTGTCATGACCACAACCGGATATAGACGGTGAGTGATAGTGGGATCTGGGACGTTATGGGTTCTATGACTCAGACCCATAATGAATTTGTGACTTTTTTGTGTGTTGAATCTGCTGTATTGACTAGGTCCGATAGACGGAATATCAAAGATGCTGTTGGATGCTATGGCCACAGAAATTCTCACTTTAAAATTATATTTTGTATAAATGGTATCAGTTTACATTGTTTTATTACAGTTTTTGCTTGGTACGATCTTTGTATTTGTTGGCGCATATATCTATAATAAAAACGTTGTATTTTTACATAATGCATATAGATGTATAAACTGGATGAGTGGTTGTTAATCGGTTATATTATATTTCTTTAGTAAGCGATTCACCCAAGTACGCTGAGCAATCTACATTTACATTGACAGTGATGATTCTAAGGTTCTGTGGATTACTTTTTGACTGTCAATGAACTGGGAATTTTGAGGAAGATTCTGAATAACTCAATAACCCATCCTTGACCACGAATTGGTACTTGACTGGTTGAACAGACATTTTTACATCACAAGTCACAAGTAAGCACGGTTTTGAAACAATTCATCACACATTGTTAAATAATTTGGGACCATTCATATGTAATAGTAGTAATTTAATTTCTAAAATTAGATTTTACACTTACTCTTTTTGGCTACTTTAGTGACATCTTCTCTTGTGCATGATGATGGTACACAAATGCCAAACCTGTAGGCTATGAAAGTGAAGTATTGAGCATGTTGGCCTAACTCGTACAATAGCTGAAAATATTTATGATTACAAAATAATAATAAAACTCTAAACCATATTAAATGAAGAAAAATTAAGTTAATTTATAATTTAAATTTTATATGCACATTAAGTTGATAAATTGTATAACTCGTACAACAACTGAAGATATTTATAAATGCAAAAGAACAATAAAACTTTAAAACACATTGAATGAAAAAATAATAATTAATTTATAATTTAACCTAATTTTATATGCATATTAAGTTGAAAAATGGCATAAGGCAGCCAAATTATAAAAAAGGCATAAAACTTCTACTCTTTAAGTTCAGTAAGTACTTGTGGTAAAGTTTTGGTGATCGAATGTCAATCGTTTTCTTGTCCAGTGACCTATATGATCATTTAAATATAATTATTCATTAGCAACTAATGTTTTTATGATTGGATAGTAATTGCTAATTAGATTTTATCCTACGTCTAATATGGTGCGTTTTCCAAAAGGTTCTGATAAGGGTTATCTCTGTGTTAGTGGTATTAGATTCTGGGTCTTCTTGATGTAGGTCTGGTGTGTCATCCATTGGATTGGGGTCTCACCCATTGTAACTTGAATCAGCCAACTGCACATATTTCATAGCTTCAGTGATGGCTAAATATAGATCAGTTAGTGGAGATGGCCACTTGGGGTAGTGATAGGATTTCTTCTTTCATTACATAGGATATGCGTACAGTCTATGTATTTTCAATCATTACTGACATGTTTGAGACAAAAATAGAAACACTGTTTATATTCATAACTGGTAAAACATTAATTCTACAACTGCTATATAATCAACAAATAAATCATATAAATGATTTGTTAACTTTAATAAATCTCTCATCATGCATCGCACGAGTACATCTGCTAAATATTCCAATTTATCATGTGGTATTCTTCTCTAACATGGCGGGCTATGGCAGATAAATCGGTATAACCGAGTCTTTTATGTCGCTATACTTCTGAATTCTACTCTTTTTTGTTTATCCATTGTATTGGAATCCACGCAGATTATGTTGCAAATGGTGCTTCCCCTCTCTATTTGATGTTAAGGTTGTTTGGTATGCAATTACTAAGATTGCATTGTATCGTGGTTTCTGAATCCTGTTTGTCTTTGTACACTTTAGATAATCTATACATGTCTGTAATTTTATTCCTATTTATTTGTAGTTTGTTTTATTTTCGTTGCTTTCTTTATGTTAAGGAGTGTTGGTGTTTCTTCCTTCTTCTTGGCTTCTTCAGTATTACAAATCTTGTACATTCCGAAAACTAAGCAGTCTATGATGTTCATCCTTACGCTGTTGAGGTGTTTGATTTATAATCGAGGTATTTGCCCATACCTGTAAGTTTTCTGTAAACTACTTTGCTATATAAGGTATGTGTCTGGTAACCATCACTTCAAGGAATGTGAGTCTTTTATCTTGTTCTATTTCCGTTATGTCTCCCGTCGATTTGATAGCACACCCGATTTTCTATTAAGAAGACCCACGATCGAATTCTGGCTATTACCAACACAGAAATAATCCTTCACAGGACTTACCCGAAGACAGCAGTAGATTAGCAGTCGAAACGTAGGATATGAACTAATTTGCATATAGTCATAAACAAACGAATTGTTAATAAATCAGACGGTACGTATTGACACAGACTACTTACCATGCAAACTTTCTTTAACTTTAGCACTTGCTATAAATAACTATAATGTTGAAATCAAATACAAATACCAATTATTTCATTTGATCTTGCCATTATTTTACTCTGTTTTTTTTTCTTACAAAGAATTTATATTATTGCTATAAAGTAAAAAAGCAACAAGGAAATAAAACACTATAGAGGAAATGTATTTTCCTAAGTAAAATTCAAAATTCCGAAGAAACCACGACTGTTGTTTTCTTCCTTGCGCATGCTACATATTAGATGTATCAAACGCAACAATGTGCTTACTAAAACAGAAATACATAAAAATAGAGCATATCACAAAATATACTTATATATATTAGCCTGTTGCACGCTTACCATGATATAATATAAAAATATATGTATATAATGTCTTAGTTTAACTTTTGTTTAAATGAATTAAATGCAGCACATTGTGCTATTTAATCTAGGAATTCTGTCCTTAAAATACATTCATTCATACATAAAGTTTTCTTGGTGACTTTGATTTAGCATGTTCCAATACTCTGAATACAAGTCTAGTAAAATTTAAAAACGTATGTTTTGAAATGCTTGGGTTTTGCCGAAAATAGAAGTTAAATGGCTTAAAAAGAAATAAAAAGTAGTGAAATTTCAAATGATTAAATATTCCATTTTTATAACTACTAGTAATATTGCAATGTAACAGATAGCAAGTTAATTTCACATACAGTGTAATACAAAAGTCGCACATTACTATAGTATTTCTAAATCCCCCCCTTATTATCGTCGTATTTGCGTTTTACTAATTATCTTTTTTTTTCTTTAGTTACAATAAACGGTTGAGATATCATTAACCTTACAAGAGAATGTTAAGTAATCCTATTGTGCCATTGTGTCATGACGTCACGGGTGCACATTTCGAACATGAGCAGGAATTCGAAAAATCATGTTGGGCGCAACTATCGTGATACTTGTATAAAACATTATTTCTGGTACATGTAAACTTACGTTATCTTTGGACGAAATGTTGCTAAAAAGATCAAATGTTTTTAAAGCTGTATCATATCGCTCTCTTGATGGTAAAGGAGGTTGGAAATGAACTGAACAATATTGGCCCTGCATCACGCCATTATTCGGACCCAGATAACGTTTTGGTACCCAGATGCGAAGACATTGGTCAAAGGATCCAAAAGCAGTCACTGTTCCTTCTAGTAGTCCTCCTGGTGGTTTTCCACTAGCGTCAAACACTTCCGGTAGAAATAGAAAATCATTCAAGTTCATTTCTACAAAACCTTCTCTATGCAAAATCATCTAAACATCTGTTACATATTTAAGAAATGTTTCAAAACTTATTACAAGTTAGTATTGTACACAATGTTTCAACCCAGTACGAGTCAGTATCGTTTTTCATTTATTTGTTTGTGTATTTTTAAGCACAAAACTATCTTTGTGATGTCCACGGTGGGAACCGAAGCCAGATTTTTAGCGTTATAAGACCTCAGAGGTATCGGTAAGCCATCGGGGGACTGTAACTGTCGTAAACAGTATTTAAAACTAATTACAAGTCATTGTCGTAAACAGTATTCAAAACCCATCACCAGCATATTTTATCATAAACAATATTCAAAACCAGCTACCAGCCAGTATTGCAAACAATATTCAAAACCAGTCACCAGCCAGTATCGCAAACGATATTCAAAACCAGTTATCAATCTTATTTTGAACAGTATTCAAAACCAGTAACCAATCTTATTGTGAACACTATTCAAAACCAGGTACCAATCTGGTGATGTGCAATTATAAATATGAATATTGCTACAAAATTGTAAATTTAGAAGAGCAAACTTTAATGTGCAATTAGAATAATATACTGAATAGCAAAGAACATTCCATTTTGTTAACATTAGGAATACTTACTCTCGAATGCCCAAGTCTTCATTTGTACTAAGTCCTGCAGAAAGGAACGGAATTCTTCGGCACACTGGGATGTCACCCGAACGTCTGTAAAAATTGACTGGATGTACGGACGTAATCGACTAACCCAGCTTTTCGTCGCAACTTGAAGCTTGCTCTCAAACATTTTCCATTTCCTCAGGATCTCTTGGTCATGTTTAGGGTGGACAATGGATTGTGTATTACTAGTTGCTGGATCAAATGACCCAAATAACACCCAAAAGAATAATAATGAAATAGTTGGCGTAGGTATTACTTTCCTCATTCTCTACTTACTGAAAACAAGCTTACTTAATTAAATGAAAGATTAAGAGTTACCTATGGCTTATATTTATACATAGCCAAATTGAGAAGGACATCTTCCAACCTCTTACCAGCAACACAACTGGTTACTCTAACCCAAAAGGTGTGGCCGAATAATGACGTCATACAATCTAATTAGACAAACACTGGTAGGTGAAGACTAATTGTAAGTTTGTCATAAATAAGACCCTTGGTCCTCGGGCCTAATTTCAAGGTCGTGGAACATTCCCGCGTTCGACGCCAGCGTGGTATTGTTTTTGTTTTTTCTCTTTACGATATATTTTCTCGTGTCTGTCGAACTAATTCCAAGACCACGTAAGTGCTCTACCAGCTGAGATAGTAAGCCATTTTTAACTACTCAAATTACTACATATTTATGACTTTTAGTGAGCAAAAGTAACTATATATTTTCTGAGTATGTCTTAAAAGTAAGTCATCTACTGATGTGGAAAGATTTCAAAAGTTGTTTTATCATTTATGAAAACATATAACAATAAACATACACAGAAAATATTTAAGTTTGTGTTACTTACGTAATATTTTACTGAACACATACTTATAAATTAGTATTACTTATTTTTTTGCCAAATCTTCATGTATATGAGGTTATACTACATACTAAAGAAAAATCGTCGTGTTTGTGCTCATAAATATTTGGCAAATAATCTTCATCCTGCATATTTGTCAAATCATTGTATACTATTAATAAGAACTTCTGAGTGAAAGTAAAAAAAGAGTGTCTAAAAATATGTCAAACAAACTATATCTACTATATCCAACCGACAAGGCTTTTCGCTCAGTACTAGGACATTCGTATACATAATGATATTGTTACGACAGCGGAAGTCACGTGACGAGCATGATGAGTTTCTCGAATGATCGGGGAAGTCCGAG